TGTTTTTATTTTTTGTTTTCTTTTTTAGATTGTAGTTTTTTTTTGTTTTTTTTAATTTCTTTCTGTAAGACCCTTTTTATCCTTTCCTAAGGATTTTATGCGTCTAATAAAAATATAATATAAACAAAGATGGCGACCTTGACTGTTGCGCAGATCAACGAGTACGAACTGACACGTTTCCAAGCTTTAAATATATAATTTTCATGTGATTGGAAGGTATCGAAGGTGTCACCGACGGTAATCAGTGCAAGTCGCGCACAGGTCAAACCTCATACTTGTGATTTCCATTTGAAAAGCGCATTGGATTGTGGGAAAATCAATGTTTATCAACACAAATGTCGAACATGCGCAGCGCGACGACTACCGCGCTTTAAGTGCACATGTTTTAATGACCAAACAAAGATTAAGTGCACAAATTAAAATGGGCAGATACCACAAAATTACCATTACTGAGACTGGTTACGAACCACATCGAGGTCACGACTCGGTTAGCCTTGCTCAACTGGTTCGTAATCAGTCTTGTGATTAGTTGTTGACAAATGCTGAACAGGCCACGCCTCCAACTGTGCCGTGCGTTCGGACGAACCGTTAGGAATTCCTAAATGGAGTCAATTTGTGTAGTTTTCTTGATTTATTCTGCAGATATCGGTAAAATGTAGGCAATGCTTTGGCGAAATTTGAAGGAGCAACTAATATTCTTCAAGCTGGTATTTTTTATAGATTTTATTTTTCATTCTTTTCGTCTGTTTTTTCGAGTTTAAAAAATGTGAGCTGACTGGAGCCTTCATCCCTTGTTTATTTCTTACACTAGATGCCAGCCGATACCCCCCCCCCCCCGCTCATAGAGACTGCGTACTACAGTTGATTATAGTTCCTGGGCTCCCTGTGATTAATCCTTCAGGGCATCATTTCAATGTTTTCAGCCTCGCGTTCGGGCTTATTGAGTTGTTTTGTGTTACGTCGCAGACGTCTGCACGCTATACTGAGGGTGATGACAGCCAATATAATCATCACGGCAAACAGAACTGCGGTCACCGTCATCATGGCTATCGACTCGTTACCATGGTAACGTTGACTACGTGCGGTATCATCGGCGGTACTCAAAGCTGAAATACAAAAAAACAAACAAATTACACAATATCTTAGACAAAAATCTCATTTCTCCTATCATAGCAATTATACAAATCAGCGCGTAAATGTTAGTGCGTTAGTAACATACGGCGGGGGGGGGGGTACTCCCATGGTTGAAGTACGCATCTCTGTTTTGACACCCATTTTCAGGAACCTTTTGACCCATAATTTTAAGATTTGTGACCATTTTAACAAAATCTGGGAACCAGTTTGGCGAAAACGGCAGTTTTTATTTGAGCCAAAAGCGCCCTCAACGTCGATCGTTTTGGGCCCAGTTTTCAACTGCCTGCGGAGCACTCCCACCCAAAATCCAGGTGAGTACCCCGCCCTCCGGCTGCTCTGAAGCTGGCATGGCAACTTTAGGGTCACGTGAGTTGCACCCTCGCCCACAGACACTGATAAGCGTTGCTACATAGACCCTAATGTATGTTCTGGTCATTGGTTCACAATATTCCCTTCTCATTTGTACATTTCGGCAAAAGTGAAATTCTCACCCGTGAAAGCGCCGTACTCGGGTGTCACGTTGGTGACTTCGTCTTTGAAGTGCACTTTATTTTCTACTTTAGGCGATTCGGTGGTCTCACTAAGACTCGCAAACACTGTAAATAGAAGTTTATTTAGAGTACATAAATTGTTGATTATTTAAAATGTATTTTAAACGGACCCAACAACAGACCAACTCGAAGAAAACTCAACGTACATAATTTTTTTTCATTGAAAAAAGTAATTCGACATTTTCATATTAATCCGATATTAGTTAGTGTTAAAGTTGAAATCATATTCGAATTGGCAAGTACATACAAAATAGGGGTTGGCCATTTGGAAACTTTGGCGGTTAATTTCCAAAATTTTAAGCGAAAAACATTATTTTCCTATCTCACATTCAAGTTGTTTAACAATTTACAATCCTTTCAAAATAAGCCGCTCCAAATTTTAGGGTAACTCCTAACTCGTTTAATTTATTTTATTGAATGATACTAAAGGGCAACATCAAAAGTTCAATGTAGGATAAAAAAAACTTAATTCATTTAGTCGCCCCCTAAAACTTAATTGATAAATATTGAGTCTTACCAACTCACGCCAAAAAAAAAAAAAAAACAGCCACCAAACCTTCAGCCGTTCAATGGGAAATAATGAAGGGGAATATACGCATGCGCACACTACTTTTCTGAGTTCTGCGCATGCTCTAGGTCTATGCCCTGATATTGACCTCATTTGACGCACATATTTACACTCGGACCAAACTATTTTCTCGTTTTTTGTTTTATTTCATTTTCTGTTATTTTTGTCCATGATTGGATATAAAAAAACGAACTACAAGATTTTTTTTGATTTCATTAAAAATAAAATTGTTTTTGTAGGATGGATACTTTTTGAGGTACCCCCAAACTAAAGCAAATATTTTTTTTTTATCCTAAAACACCAAACACCAATCACGTGACATGGCCCGTGCCTATTTCTCTTACCCGCACTCCCTCTCTGAGGTTTTAGCAATGATTTAAGTTGACAGGACTTGGTTCCTATATCATAATATTTATCGACATCTTCACAATATTCTCCACATATTGTATCTTGATTTTCCCAGCACGGCGCTATCGTTGGGATGCCGTCATCACAAAAACTGCAACTCCTGCAGTAGTAGAACCTGAAAAATAGTTGAAGCGGGAGAGTCGTTGGGTCGATACCTCATTGATAACTGCTAATGTCTCCAATTACTAAAATTGTTCAAAGAAAAACTGTCTGTTCTCGGTTTGTTGATATTACTCGTAAATGCAAGTGTTATATGTAACACAAATACACTCGTGTATTTGTATTGGTATATGTAACATATAAGAAGTAATCGTGTATTTGTATTTGTATTGGTATATGTAACATATAAGAAGTAATCGTGTATTTGTATTGTCATATGTAATATATAAGAAGTAATCATGTATTTGCATTGGCATATGTAATATATAAGAAGTAATCATGTATTTGTATTGGCACTGTACATTCATAGCTCTTTGTCTTTCACCCCTATTGACATTAATATTATGCACTGTGAATCGGTCTTTGTGGAAACTACCATTAACAACAAAACAGTTATCATAGGTGTTAATT